AAAAAAAAAAAAAAAAAAAAAAAGCCCACTGCCACCCCTTGCCCCATTTCCCTTTCCTTAAAAACCCCCAACACAGACACATACATACATACATACACACACACAAACACACATGCACATGCACATACACCCCTCGGGCTGAAAAGTCTGAATTCTACAGCTCAGCCCCAGGATAGCCTCAATCCTATGCAGTTTGGGGGTGGTTGGGGGACAGCTCTAGCTTCTGTGGCCCCAGCCCTCTCTGTTCCTTTACTTCCGCTCTGCCTGCCTTCTCTGGACTCTGTCAGCAGCTGTGCCACAGCCCCCAAAAAAGCTCAGAGCATCATCCTTGCCCTCCCAGAGCTTAAAATTTAGTCGAGGAAAACACAAGTCACAGACACACAAGAAACAAAAGGCAGGGAGATGGAAGACTGGGTGAGATCAACTTCCTAAATGTGGATTTCAGACTGTAAGTGACTACTTCCCTCCAGGCCGGGGCTAGGGAAGAACGGGACACATCTGAAACATGCATGTGGTGGTGTCATCCTTGTTTTTGTTTGTTTGTTTGGGGCGGAGTCTTGCTCTGTCACCAGGGTGGAGTGCAGTGGCACAATCTCTGCTCACTGCAACCTCCACCTCCCAGATTCAAGCGATTCTCCTGCCTCAGCCTCCTGAGTAGCTGGGACTACAGCCACGTGCCACCATGCCCAGCTAACTTTTGCATTTTTAGTAGAGACGGGGTTTCACCACGTTGGCCAGGATGGTCTCGATCTCTTGACCTTGTGATCCACTGCCTTGGCCTCCCAAAGTGCTGGGACTACAGGCGTGAGCCACCACCTTACTGTTCCCAAACACACCACAATCTCACCTCTGTGCCTGTGCACGCACTGTCCCTCTGTCTGGCGTGCCCTTCCCCCTTTCCCCAGTGTGCGTGGCTTACTCTTGTCTCATTACTGAAGGTCCTGTCAATGGCATCTCTTTCAGAGGGACCTTCCTGACCTCCTTATCTTAAGCAGCTCCTGGCCGGGCACGGTGGCTCATGCCTGTCATCTCAGCATTTTGGGAGGCCAAGGTGGGTGGATCACCTAAGATCAAGAGTTTGAGACCAGCCCGGGCAACATGGTGAGACCCTGACTCTACTAAGAATACAAAAATTAGCTGGGGTGGTGGCAGGTGCCTGTAATCCCAGCTACTTGGGAGGCTGAGATTGAACCCAGGAGGTAGAGGTTGCAGTGAGCTAAGATCACACCACTGCACTCCAGCCTTGGCAACAGAGTGAGATTCCACCTCAAAAAAAAAAAAGTAAATAAATAAAATAGGCCAGGCATGGTGGCTCATGCCTGTAATCCCAGAACTGTGAGAGGCCGAAGCGGGTGGATCACAAGGTCAAGAGATCAAGACCATCCTGACCAACATGGTGAAACCCCGTCTCTACTAAAAATACAAAAATTAGCTGGGGGTGGCGTGCACCTGTTGTCCCAGCTACTCAGGAAGCTGAGGCAGGAGAATCACTTGAACCCGGAAGGTAAAGGTTGCAGTGAGCCAAGATCATGCCACTGCGCTCCAGCCTGGGTGACAGAAATAATAAATAAATAAAGCAGCTCCTTGTTACTCTCCGTCCTCCTCATCCTGTCACTCTGTTTGGTTTATATCCCTTTCACACCTGAAATCGTATTATGTCATTCCCCACCTAAATGTGGACTTCATGAAAGCGGGGACGTGGCCTTACTCACCCTGTCCTCCTGGTGCCTGAACTGGTGCCTGGAACAAAGTCGCATTTACCATGCTGCTGAGCGAGTGAACGAACAAACAAATGAACAAACAAATGTCTTCCTGTGCCTGTAGTGGTTTTGTTGTAGTTGTTACTCTAAGAATATGTTTGTGTATTTGCACAAAGCAAATAGGATGGCATGTGTTATTCTGTGTGGAAGTCACTAGCATTTTCACATAGCTCAAAAGACACCCAAGTCACTACACATGTGAAAGGCAGTGGGTCTTGGGCTGTTTGAGTGGAGCTGCGGGGAGCCTCTGGATGCCAGCGCTCCAAGGGGGCGTGTCCCAGGCACTGCGCAGCCTGTGCCGTTCCTCTCCCCGGCTGTGCATCTGTCCCCAGGTGTCTTCCTGTCTCTCAGCATGTTCTGATGTCTCGGCTGCTCTGTGAGGTGCTTGTCTGTCATGGAGACTGTTTATCCCCACCTCTCCTCCCTCTTGTCTCTCCACCTGTGCCTCTAGATGTAGGTGGAGGGGGAGTCTCCCTGAGCTCCCTTGCCCCTCACACACCGCCCTGCCCCAGTCTTGGACCCCTCCCTTTCTCAGTGGGCCCTGTTGCTGGGCTCTGGGTTGCCATAGTGACGGTTGCCAAGTCCCTGAGGCTGATAGCCAGCGATGGGGCTGTCGGCTCCATCCACGCGGGAGGCTGAGGGGGGCTTCCCATTGTGTAGAGAAGGGGATGTTGCCATGACAACCAACCCCCACTAAGGGGCAAGGACCAGCCTTTCCACCCCCCACGAGCCTCCCCACCTCGGGCAGCTCCAGTGTGGGCTCAGAAGGCAGGAGTAAATTCCAGACAGCCCAGCACCTGGTCTCCCAGCTTTCAACTCCCCTCCTGTGGTGCCCGCACCTTTCAGGACCCAGGCATCTTGCTCAGACAGGCAGGGGGAGGAGCAGGGGTCCCACTGGACAGAAGAGAGGAAGAGGGACCCCTTGACCTCCAGGCAGATGGGAGACAGCGGGAGGGGACCTAAAGTCAGGGGAGGGGCAGGGAGGGCAGAGGTTGTGACCCCTGCTGACTCGCTCCAGTGATGCTCCTGATGGCTGCTTTTGTGGTTGGAGAATGGGGCTAAGTCTAGGGGGCTGGGCACCTGGGCTTTTTGGGGGAGAAGAACCTTGGTTATGGGTATACAGGGAGCCAGGGTACAGGCAGCTTGAAGCCTAGGTCCCTGAGTCCTTCCTAATTCCTTCTGATCAGTCTTATCCCTTCTCCCCACGAGTTCCCTACAGCAAAACTTCCCAAGGGGTGGTAGGGAATAGACTTTAACACGTGAAGATGTTTTTACCACTTGATCCTAATTGTGACTTGCCCTGTCTCCGGTGCTTTGGCTTAGCAAGGCACTCAGACTGTCCCCATGGACGAACTGGCAACCTCACTCCTGCCTGGGTACCTCTCTCCCTCCCCTGGAGGTGACACCTTCCTCTGCCTTCTCTCCCAGCCCATTTTTACCTCCTCAAGCACTGCCCACCTCACCACTCCAAACTAGCCCTATGCCGACCCACTCCCCGTGGCAATCCAACCCTCAGCTAGAAAGCCATCCTAACCACATCTTTGCTCCAATTCAAGTCCAGTCATTCTCCAGCCTTCTTGTCAACTTTTGAAGTTTTTTATTTTTTATTTTTTTGGTTTTTGTTGTTCAAATTTCCCTTTTACAGTAAAACTAGTGAGGTGACGGAAGACCCCGCCACCATGGCAATATCAACTTCCTGTTCCCCAGAAGGAGCGATTAGAAAAATCAGGAAGAAGCTGGGAACTACAGCACCAGAGCAGTGACTTGACCTCTGGTGGACAAAGCAACCATCTTGGCTGGTGACTGAGGTGGCCAACTTGGTGCCCAACGGCAGCTTTTATCTAATAAAACTGAGCTGGGAGGAAACTGAGGCAACACCCAGCTGCACACTAGACGGCAGGAAGAGGTATCAGCTGGTCACCATGGAAACAGCGGCCTTTGCTAAGTACCACTGTCAGCTAGACCAGCCAGCAGGCCACCATTTTGGTTACTAAGAAGGGAACTGTGTTGAGTCTGAAAGGAGTCAGAAATGGAGGATGGAATGAGCAAGACACCCATCTGGGTTACTCGGGGAGAACACATGGGTTCTTGGGGTAGTCCTGTTGATTAACAGAGATTATACTGGGATAATGGAAAGGAAAGAACAAGACAAATTGGGCCTGCCACAGCACATGGCAGTCATCTTAGCTGTCCTAAAATCAGCACAGAGCACAAGGAAAGGGAGATCTTGGGAAGTGCCACTGAATACTGGGAAAGTCCTTCTCGGTCCACCTCTGTCCTCTTACAGTCAGTAAGTTCCAGCTTCCTCCTCCAACAGGAAGTTCTTCCCGCCCTTCTTCTCCACAGAGTAAGAACCATCCACCTCCCCCCCCCCCCCCCCGATCCCCCAGACTAAGCCACTTGGAGTTCCAGCCAGACCACTTCCTATTTCAGAAGTGCTACTTCCTGTCCTGGATGAAGGCACTTCCAGTTCCTGCTGCACTGCTTCTACTTCCCAGGCCATTTCTGTCCAGGCCTGGTCACCTCTTGTCTGGAGCAAGTCACTTCCTGTCCCAAGTGGCCCATTCGGCATCAGACCAAGTCCGTACATGTCCCGACCGGTTCATATCTTGCTATTGGCCACTGGACAAAACAGGACACTTCTTCTCATGGTAGCTGTCATGACCCAACCACCCCAAATGGCTGGAGTAAGTATGTAAAGGCCTGGGCCAGGGCAGAGAAGGGAGCCCTGCTGCCAAGCCCTGAGCTGGGGTGGAGTGCCAGAGCCTTCCCCATAAGGCCCCCATTTTTGGCAGACTGAGGGGAATGGTTGGTATGAGAGGTCGGAAGGGGGCTGATAGCTAAGGGGAGAAGTGCTTTGATGCCCCTGCCCGGGAGATGGGAGAGGCACAGGATAAGAAGCCAAGAGGGTGAAAGGAGATGTGGGGAGGAGGATGCTAGGGAAGAACAGACCTAGAGACAGAAGAGAAGGAAAGAATAAGTGATAGAGAGAAGAGAAAACCAGTGAGAAGCAGAAAGAAGCGGTGCCAACCAAATGGTGGACCGTTCCCGCCCCTAGCTCTGGGTGGGTGGGGGGACAAGGATGCCTGGGTCACAGTCAGAGAGGAGGCTGAGCCTGGGCCCCTCCCCAAGGGAATAGGACCCAGGGACACTGAGACAGAGGAGGGCACCCATGGCCAAACGGGAGGGCAGGAGGTGGTACAGTGAGAATCCTAAGGAATCCTGAAAGTGGACACGAGGACAGCAGCGGGGAGGAGCGAAGGGGCTTATAGGGCACAGGGGGCCGAGGAGATGTTAGAGGTGTCCCTCAAACCAGGAATTAAACTGGAGGAGCACCCCAAGAAGGGCTGGATCCAGGAGAGCCACATGGGGAGAGCCCTCATACCTTGTAGTAGATGTTTGGAGGGCTCTGGGGGGGCCCATCCTGCACTATATACACAGGATGCCCGTAATCACCGCTCACCTTCTCATAGTGGGGACAGAACGGGGGATCGGTGGCCCCGCCGCCCCGCAGAGCTATCCCTAGCTCCCCAGGCTCAGCCTCCCGAGGTCCCATCCCCCCTCCACCCCCCAGGCCCAGAGACCCTCCCCTCCCGAAGGAGCCAGGACCAGGGTGGCGACTCTCCGAAGGCTTGGCCCGCCGTCTCCGCCAACACATGGCACCCCCAGCCCCTGCCACGCCCAGCAAGAGCAGCGCCAGCCCCCCTGCTGCCCCAGCCACTGCGGGCATGCTGGGAGGGGGCAGGGGGCCTTCAGCACCCCGGGAGGTTGCATTGCTGGTGGGGTCACCTGGCAGGGAAGGGGTGAAGGAGGAAAGAGGGGGAGGGACTGAAGGAGCCACCTGGGCATCTGGACACCCTACCCTGGGGGTCCCCATGGGCTTCCCTTGTAGGGCCCAGGCCCCTTGGGGACCACACCTCCCCTCCCCCGCCAAACCCTGCTCAGAATCCAGGTGTCCAGCCCTTCAGCTTCCTGCCACAGAGTCCTCCCCACTTCTCTGACAGCACTGATTGAAGCACTGACTTGGCTAATTAGTTCTAATTGAGTCTTTTCCTCATTTGGCTTCCATTCCCCTCCCACCCTCCCGTCCTCTCTTCTCCTCTTTCCTGTATCACCGCCCCCAAAACTGAAGAGGGAGGGTGACGGCAGGGCAGCTGGGGTCTGAGAGCAGAGGAAACTGGGGAAGGCGGGGGGCTGAACCCTGGTTCCTACCTGGCACATTCTCCTTCCCAGGCTCCAGGCTGTGGGCTGCCCCTCGGTCTCTTTCCATGGGTATTTCAGACACAGGTTTTCGGGGAGCAGCCCCTCCTTGGGGACCTGAGATGAGGAAGAGCCAAGAGAGGCACTGAAACAACCGCCCCTGACCATGATCGTCCTGCCCCAATGTCCCTCCGATCCCGGGAGGTGTCCCCCAGCCCTACTCACTTTGTCCCACTCGGAGAAGCACCTTCATGCCTCTGGTTAGGCACACACCTCCCTGCAGGCTCTCCAGGCCCTCCCGGGTCCCATCGGATGTGGCTGGGAGGGAAAAGCCAGAGGGAGAGGTTGGCACTCCAGAGTCTAGCCAGGTTCTGGCCCCACACCCTGGTGTGAACACCGCCTGAGGGAGCTGGGGTCTCCCTCTTGGCTCCAGTGGTCCCCCTCCCTCTCTGCTCAGTGTCAGGAGCAGCCCCCAACTGACTTGTGCTCTCTGCCCAGCAGTACCAATGATGTAGTAATCGTGGTGCGAGCGGAACTCGTGACCCCAGAGGTTAGGGCTGTACTCCTGAAACTTGATGGTGAAGCGGAGATCCAGGTCTGGCCGATCACAAGTGAGAAGGAGGTTTGGAGCAGGGGGTGCCTCACAGCGCCGGCCCTGGGCACCCCCTACCAGGTACAGCTTGTAGAACTCATAATTAGGAGAGGAGTGGGGGCCAGGAGGCCGGGCCCGGGGGCAGAGCAGGTCTAGCCGGTCCCCGATCTGAGGGTAGAGCACATAACCACCCTCTGCCTGGAACCTATGGGGAGGAGGGTGAGGTGGACAAGGAAGAAATGTCAGAGGCCTGGCCCCCAGAGCTTTCCCTCCCTCACCCCGAAACCCTCCAGGACAGCAATCCTCAGCTCACACCTGCCCGCCTTTGTCTGAGTGGAAGTCTGTTCTTAACAGAGCAGGCACCAAGGACTCTGTGCGTTCACACTGGAAGCAGCAGGAAGCCAGGCTCAGAGGTCTCCTGCCCCTTGGTGTGCCCAAATGCACTCTTCAGCCCGCCCTCACCACATGCACACTGCCATCTCCCGCTCCATCACCAGCCCTGTTGCCATGGCAACAGGATGCCAGTTACCAAGGAGCTGGCCTCTCTGGAACCACACAGCCCACCCCTCCCAGGTGATTTCACTATTTCATGGCAGCCAACCATGGGGGCAAAGCCTCCCCTCCTCCAGGCCACCACTGAATTTCAGGGATTTCAGGACATAGGGGGCGGGTCAGGGAGGGGCTGTGTGGAGGGTGATCCAGACCAGTGCCTTAAATTAGCCAGGTAATAGGACAGAGGGCAAATGCCTGGTTTGGCCATGACCATCAATGGGGCCGATGGGAACCAGGGTCTAGAGACCTGCTGCCTGAGTCATTCTCCTGCTCAGAATTCCACCCTGGGTCTTAGACTTCCTGGGGCAAATGCCCTATTGCTTTGGAAAGGAAAGGAATTGACTTTTCTAACCATGACCAACACACTTCACCATCTCCTTGGCCAGAGCCCCCAGGCATCCGCTGTCCCAGCACAGCCGCAACTTGCCAACCCTACAACCCCTTCCTGGGCATTAATAGCTGAGACAGGGTCTCAGGACTGGATCCTATGGGACTGCTACTTGACATCTTCTCAGACTCCCAAGTGTCCCACTCCCATCCCACATCCAAAAGAGCCCCCAGGACACCCCAACTCCCTTTTCTCTACCCTGTGAAAATAAGCTTATGTTCTCAAGCTACACACCTAATACTCAAACTGCAGCTGGGAGTTGGCGGGTGGGTGACTGAGTACAGAAAAGACATTGAGATTATACCCAAAGAGATCCGGGAGAAAGAGGGAGAGATGGCAGGGTAGGGAAACGTGAGGGAGGCTGGGAACTAAAGAGAGGAACAATAATCCAAACTCTCCATTAATGAGCACATAATAAATTTCAACATCTTACCGCTAATCCTGGTAATAGCTGTAAGGATTGAGGATACAAACTCAGAAAGGTTAAGTGACATGCCCAAGGCCACACAGCTTAAAGCGGCAGAGCTACGATTAAGACCAAGGATTTGATGAGCTCCAAAGCCCACCCGCTTCTCATGACCTCATGCAGTCTCCCCAGGGAAGTAGGAATTCTTCAAAACACAGAACTCTTTTCCAAGCGGCAAGTGGGATCTGCATGTAGGCAAGGGACCCAGACGACCTCCCAAAGGTTCTGTCCTACCCAGCGTGACTTGAAGTTTCATCTGACCCCTTGGCCTCTTTTCAGAGCAAAGCAGGCAAGCCACGGAACAGAGGGTCTGATGGAAGAGTTTGGATCAAAGATGGGGGGAGGGAGCAATGGAGTCCTCAGGACTCCAGAAGCAAAAGGGAAGGAAGGAGGGTTCCGTGGGTTGGAGGCTTCTTCCAGAAAGACGCCTGCAAGCCAGGAAAGCAGGAATATGTTCTGGCTGGGAAATCGTTCAGTCAACAGTTCACCAACCCTCTGGCTGTGCGGCAGAGTTGGGAGACAGACTGTCAAAGATTGTCAAAGAGCCTTGGGGAAGTTGTCCCCAGAGCCCCCAACCGAAACCCCCTTGCCTCACATCTTAGACGCTGAGTTCCTCCAGCGGGGAGGGAGGCACCCTGCCCTGCCTTCCCCTTGGCGACTCACAGCACCTTATCTGCAGCTCTCTCCTGAGAGCTGACAGTAACCAGGCTCCCTCCAAGCCCAGCCCCCCCCCCCCCCCCGACGCAGGCCTCCCACAGATCCAAATACCCACCTCACTGTCCTCCTGACTACCCATGAACTTTCTTCTCCTTGCCCCTTTGGGGTCTCCAAACTCCTGACACATCCATAGCACCACCCGCATCCAGCTATGCGTGGGACCCGGAGTCTGGCTCCCAAGATCACCTGTCTAGTAACCCACCACACATCAGATCACCAGCGCCTTCCCTCCCGCCTCCTCCCTGCCCACAGAAGCCAGCCCCCAAAGTCCCCAAAGCTTCCCTACCCACTGCCCTAGGGTCTGGGGTCTCCCCAGCCCCAGGCCGCTCACCTCTTATTCGCCGAGTTCCAGTAGACAGGTTCCAGGCTGAGCCCAGACACCAGCCCCAAAACGCCCAGCAGCAGCAGGGCCCCGATTCGCACGCCCCCCGGCCCAGAATGGGGGGGCCCCATGACCCCGCCAAGGCCTGGGGGGCGGGGCACCAACTCCCCCAAAGTCGCTCACCCCTTGGGGTGGCTGCCTTGGCTGCCCGGCTCTTCAGCCCGGACCACCCCGGTGGCTGATGCCCCCAGCGCCCACGCGGACCTGCTTCCTGCTGTGCCCGCGCCCCCGCAGCAGAGCGCTCAGTACCACCAGAGCCCTTCCAGGGGCCGTCTGCAGGCGCCCTACGCGCCCCCGGCCCACGCGCCAGCACCCCGGGATCTGTGAGCCCGCCTAAGTGGGGGACTGAGGGAGCCGGGGTCTGGGCGGGGGCGGCATGGGGCGCCGGACCACGGAGCGAGGAAGGGGGCGCCGAGCCGGAGCCCCAGCCTCGCCGGGATTGAGGGCAGCGGGCTAAGGGAGGAAACCAGTCCCGAGCCCAGGAGGGGGGAGTTAAAGGAGAGGCGGGGAGGGGGAGAGGATGGTGGAGGGAAAAACCGGAGCTGGAGCTCGAGGCGGAGCGGGCGGCAGCATCCCGCGGCCCACGCCCCCCACACCTCCCTCACCTCGCGCACCTCCCGCCCGCCGCCCCGCCTTAGCCCCCGGCGCGAGCTCTCACGCCCCCTTTGTCTCTCCGAGCCTCTGGCTCCGGCTGAGTTCTGCCCGTCTCCCCTCCTGCCCTCCGATCGCCCAAGCTGCTGGAATCTTCCTCTCTCGAATCCAGAAAGGCTCTCGCCCTCTCCACCCCGAGGAACCCACCCCTTGCGCTCCTGCAGCCTCCTCCTCCATCCCAAAACAACACTGCTGCTCCCGGCAGGTCTGGAGAGAATAATAATAACCTTGAAGGCTTGGCACTTTACAAAGTGCGGCGGAGCTGATTGTCACGACTACCTGTGTGAAGTGGGAGGGGCAGAGCTAACGATCCCATTGCAGTGATGAGGAAACTGAGGCTCAGGGAGACCCCCATGACTTGCCCAAGGTCACACAGGAAGTCTAGGATAAAGCTAGAGACCAAACCCAGGCTGCTCAACTACCACTCCTGGGGTCTCTTTTGTCACCACTCCATGGACCATGTGCTGGTAACCTGGGGGTTAGTGGAAGACAGGAGTTTAGGGGATACACTTGGGCCTTTCCTAAGGCGGGGGGGGCGGAGAAGCCGGGCTGGGAGAGGCAGGGGCATACCTACAACCCCAAACCGGCACTGCTGCAGGAAGGGCTGTTTCCAATTATCCTGGGGGAAGGGAGGAGTTGCCTTTTCGGGGGTAAGAGCCCTGGCTTTCAGCACCTCTGGGCAGGGGTGACATTCCTCTCCTCTCTCAAGCCTCCACAGGCCTTTCGTCCCTTCCCTTTGTGAGGTCCAAAATCACATCCCCTGCTGGCAGTATCTCTTCAAAGACCCCCCATTCTCAGTGTTTGGGAAGGTGTTAGGTGGAGGAAGGAGGAGTCACTGCTTCAAATGACACACTCGTCCCCCACCCCCAAAGACAGAGCAGACAAATGGAGAAACAAGCCCAGCGACAGCTGCTGAATGAATAAGACCCTTGCCGTGCCCTGCATCTAACGGCAATACCAAAGGTAACGACTGTATATTTTTTGACACCTTTACTCTTTCGTGTGTGTCCTTGATTCTGGCAACTGGGTTGCCTGCCTCCTGGGGAGCCCTGGGGAGGGGAGGGGCAGGTTCCTGCTCCCCTCAGAGCTGAGTAATGGTCCCCGTGCTGCTGGAACACGGCAAACAGTGTGGAGTCTAGGTGACGGTCGCCCTGTCTGTCACTGTCTGCACAGTCTCACACGGTCACACCCAACAGTCTGACCCAGCTCCTGCTCAGCCTGGCTCACCCTGACCCCTGCTGCCCCCACCTTGGGAGTGAGATTTCAAACAGGTTTCCCCCTTCAGTTTACCAAGTTGCCTAGCAACCAACCAGTCAATGGCATGAAGCCCCACCCCCACCCACTTGACTTCACACCAAGCTCAGCCACCCCATTGGCTCCCGCCTAGTCCCACCTCTCAACCCCTGGTTTCAGGAACAATATGCCATACCCACTGCTGCTGGACACGGGAGCCCACCAGTCCCCCTGCCCACTCCCACCTCACTCACGTGCCTCCCCAAACAGACACAAAGACTCTAGTATCATAAAAACCTTTTTATATAAGCTCACTGTCACCTCCCTCCATCCCTCCCTGCCCTTTCTCGCCATGGTGGTCATCAGGGATGCTGGGGTCTGGGCCCCCCCCACACCACCAGAGCTGAAGCCGACATTCAAGGTGGACATGGCGCATGGAGAGCAGGGGAAGGCCCAGCTCTGGCTCCCCTTCGTCCCCACTCTCTGTGGGCTCTGGAAACACACGCTGACCAGAGGCAGTAGCCAGGAGAGGCAGGCTAGGGTGCAGGCTGAGGGAGAGATGAGAGGGTCTGTCAGCACCTTCAGTAAGGACACTTGCTCCCTCTGGGATTCACCTCCCTCCCCAACCCAATCCCCAACATCTCTGGAATTGAAGTGAGGACCTCACGCCATTGGTGCAGTCCTTTTGAGGCAGAAAACTCAATACAGGCTCCGGCTTCCCATCATTGCCAGGCTTGCCCGTGTCCCACACCTGGACGGCCCCGCTCGTGCTGCCACTCACTAGGAACTGCCCAGTCCTGGGAGAGAGAGGAGAGATTTGCTGGCAGAGGCATCACCCCCGGGGCAGGAACCCCCCACACCCAGGGGCTGGGACCCCACAGCTGGGCCCTGACATTCCTAGGCTTATCAGGGCCCTGTGTGGGAAGGAGCCACGGCCACTCACGGGTCCACATCGAAGTAGATGCGCTGATTGGTGGTCACCTCTCGACTCAGGGACCACAGTGGGTAACCAGGCTGCCGGAGATCCCAACACAGGAGCTCAGCATCCTAGACACAGAACAGGACCTGGAGTGGCCCCCCAAGCCCTAGATGTCCCTGCCTCCCTCAGGGTCTCCAGGCACTCCTTCAGCTTGGGATTTCTTCCCCATCCCCATCCCCCTCCGCCTACACTGCAGACTACATCCCCACTCCTGCCCCGCTGCCCAGCTGCTTTGAGCTCTCACAGTATGACCCCTACCTTGCGGGCTCCTGAGAAGAAGCGGTTGCCATCAGGGTGAAAGCAGAGGTGAGTGATGCCCCCTTGGTGCCCTCCCAGCAAGGCAAGAGGGGAGCCATCATCCCAGGCATACAGACCCAGGGAGCGGCCGTAGGAGCCACAGGCATAGAGGGGCTGGGCTGGGCTGAAGGCTATGCAGGAGATGATGCCGCTCTGGCCCTGCTTTTTTGCTAGAGATGGAAGGAACAAAGTGGGGAAGGGGGCAATGGCTCCTGGCCCCAACCAGGCGAAGCAGAGCTCTGTCTCCCATCCCAGCACCAGCATGCTTGCACTCAGCATCTCCCCCATGCTGTTTGTCATGAGCAGGATAAAGACCTCTGATGCTCCCCACATTTGTCCTCCCAAATGACCTAAACACCAAGCCCCACGCCCCACTTCATCCCTCTCAAATTCCAGTTTTTCCTTGGAGAGATGCAAGTTGAAGCCCTACAGGAAAACAGAATCAGCTTCATGAAAAATTTTCTAGAAAGATTTCAGAGACCAAAAGCTCCACAGCTGAAGGGCATGGGTTCAGGAATTAAGCTGTCCTTTGACCGGCTGGTTGACCTTGGGGAGGTTCCTATGTGCTCTGAGTGTGCTTTCTCCTCTGCCAACTGGGCTGCAGCTGCCTCCCAGGGCTGTACACATGACGGCGTGAAACCCCACAGGTGGCCCCTGGCTCACACAAGGCCCTATGCAGGTGGCAGCACCCTTCCCTCTCCTCCTCCTGTGGAGGCACAGATGCTTACCAAATGTGGCTCGGACCTCGCAGTCTCGGCCAGGCCGGGCCGTGGAAAAAACACGCACAGTCCGGTTGAACCCACAGAAGAGCTGGGAGCCATCCGGGGAGAAGCAGAGCGAATGGGCTGCCGTCAGCTCATCCTGGGTAAAGGAAAGGGCTGAAAGCAGGTCTTGCAAAGCCTCAGCTGCCCTAAAGGAAGGAGAGCTGGGCCAACAGAAGTACTAGGGCTGAGTGTGAAGGTCCCTACCAGGTGGTTGTAGGCACGAAAGGAAGCCCGGAGCTCTCCAGTGAATGCGTCCCAGATGTGAATAGGGTTCTCCCGGCTGCTGCTGGCCACGCTGAGAGAGACATGGACACTGAAACCCCGGTGCTGTCAAAGGAAGGGGAGGAATGGCCGGGCGCGGTGGCTGATGCCTGTAATCCCAGCACTTTGGAAGGCCGAGGCAGGTGGGTCACCTGAGGTCAGTTCGAGACCTGCCTGGCCAACATGGTGAAACCCGTCTCTACTAAAAATATAAAAATTAGCCAGGCAAAGTGGTAGGCACCTGTAATCCCAGCTACTCAGGAGGCTGAGGCAGAAGAATTGCTTGAACTCGGGAGGCAGAAGTTGCAGTAAGTAGAGATCATGCCACTGCACTCTAGCCTGGATGACAGAGCAAGACTCCATTTCAAAAACAAACAAACTTAGCTGGGCATGGATTGTGCCACTGCACTCCAGCCTGGGTGACAGAGTAAGACTCAATCTCAAAAAAGAAAAAAGGGGAGGAAGCCAACTGACCAGCCCCTCTGATGAGCATGACAAGCTTTCCTCTTCTGAAGACGCCTGGCAGCCATTGACTCTCCCAAGGGGACCCGCTTGAAACTGGGTGGTGGGGTGGCGAACGGGGAGGCAAAGGACATTACTTACTAGGAGGTGTCTGGCTGGGCTGAGGACATCAGAGAATACCAGCAGTAATCATAGATGGTGTCACCTTCCACCATTCGAAGGACAGGGACCTAGACAGAGACGTGCAAATGCCTGAGTCACTCGGAGGGAAACGGTGTCTGAGGCACGTGCCTCTAGCAGTGTTGTGAGATGGGGTGTATATACGGAGCAGAGCCTGTCTCAGTGTTCAAGGGCGAGCTCAGACTTTAATGTCAGATTTAGCCACCAAAAGTCATATAGATTCATACTTTTTACTTTCTTTTAAAAAGTTTTTGAGACGGAGTTTCATTCCTGTTGCCCAGGCTGGAGTGCAATGGCGTGATCTCGGCTCACAGCAACCTCTGCCTCCCAGTTCCAATAGATTCTCCTGCCTCAGCCTCCCAAGTAGCTTAGATTATAGGTATGCGCAACCACACCAGGCTAATTTTGTATTTTTAGTACAGACAAGTTTTCTCCATGTTGGTCAGGCTGGTCTTGAACTTCTGACCTCAGGTGATCTACCCGCCTGAGCCTCCAAAAGTGCTGGGATTACAGGTGTGAGCCACCATGCCTAGCCTCTTTCTTTTTAAACACTTAGAGAGGAAGAAACAAATAATAATACCCCAACCGAGATACAAAGAACTAACCAGTAATTCAAATATTTAGTGAGTACATGTTAGGTGCCATTTGATCCTCTAAAAAAATATTAGTACAAAAATTAGCCAGGCATGATGGCGGGCCCCTGTAATCCCAGATACCGGGGAGGCTGAGGCAGGAGAATCCCTTGAACCCAGGAAGTGAAGGTTGCAGTGAGCTGAGATTGCACCACTGCACTCCAGCCAGGGCAACAGAGAGACACTGTCTTAAAAAAAAAAAAAAAATCGGCCGGGCGCGGTGGCTCACGCCTGTAATCCCAGCACTTTGGGAGGCCGAGGCGGGTGGATCACGAGGTCAAGAGATCAAGACCATCCTGGTCAACATGGTGAAACCCCATCT